TTCTTGTTTTGCTTAAGACACCAATAACCCTTATACAAGGTGTGTAAAGACACCCGTGCATTCAGCTCCTTTGAACATTTTCATCAAGTGTGCTAAGTGTGGGCCTCTGGGCTGGACTCTCTGAAGTCTTGCTTATTTAAAAATACTTTCACTATTTCTTTTCATGTCAATGACCATTTGATGGATATAAAATTTTAGGTTTAAAGTTATTTTTCCCTTGATGAACTTAAAATACTATCCCAGTTATTCTCATTGCATAGTACTGCTGACCAGTAGGATGTACGATTCCTCCTTACAAGATCTGCCCGTGTCTTGCTTTAAATCCTTTATTAGACTGTGGAGAACCCACAGGCAGAGACTGGCCCACAAGTCCCCTTCAGTATATAGCAGTTATTCAATAAATATCTGTTTCATTTTTCAGTATGTATCAATAACTGAATACTAAGTCTTGTGTCCTAGTTCATGTGCCTCTTCCTAACATAATTTTATTGAAAGTTTCATTAACTAGGGATGCAACAACATATTCATAGATGCATGCATATGTATGGATAAGATCATTTAGAATTCAAGAGAAACTGTGTAGTAGAATGGCAGAAGGAATCTAAAATGTTTAGGAAGAAAATACATAGGAGGAAAAAAATAGCCCACAATTAGTTAGGCGCCATAACATTTCCACCCTCTTATGGGTGTGTCTATCAAGGCTAAAGGTCAAAAGCTAACGGCTAAAACTTGAATAACAATTTGTAAATTAATGAACAAGGGCCCTGTTTGCACAATGGGAGAGACTATCCGGGAACTGGCCCTGAACCTTGGTCACCAGTGCCTCTGCAAAGTGTGGCCTCAGAGCAAAGTGCATACTTCAACTCATGGGCAACGGCTTATAGGAGAGATTGTGTTGTTCATCTTTGTATCCTGACAGTTCCTGAAAATGTAAGGTCAAATGATACTTGTTAAGATTGGGGTCAATATTTGAATGGATGTTGACTCATTTAAAATAAGCCACCTTGGCAAGTCAGCCTCACATACAATTGCTCTTCACTACAGAGTGAAGGTAAAACTCTTTGATCTGGGATTAAATCCCAGCTCTCTTTACTTCCCTGGTTTCCTTTCCCATTCATTTCCTTCAGCATCTTATCTGCCCTTCAGATTGAATTTCCTGGCTCCATTAACACCAATCCCTCTACTTCTGACCACTAAAATCCCCTGTGTCTTCTTCCTTGCACTGAAAGTTATGTACGACTTGCTTTCTTTACTAGGTTGTAAGCTCCTCATGTCAGAAACCATGCCTTTTATGTATACTACATTTTCATTATCTAGCAAAGCCTGACATGTGGTGAATGCTAAGTGGTGAAGAGAGAAAAGAAAGTTTGTAGTAAGGAGCTGACACATAATGACTCATGAGGGTGAACTTTTGTAGGAAAGGGCCTCACAACCATTGACAGACATGGTCCAGTGGGAGAACATTAGAATAGACAGAGCGTCAGGACCAGAGGCAGCACAATGAGGCCTTGAAAACAGTCTTCTCTTCCAGAGGAGATGCATTAGGAGAAACACCACCATGTGTAGCGTGACAGGGGCCTGAAGGGACAGACATATCCTTCAGTTCCAAAGAACAAAGGGAGTTCCTGACTCCTCTATTTTCAGGGGGTAGAGGTGTGGACAAGCTTCATGATCTAGGTTGGCCTACAAGTCAAGGGCACAGGGGCAGGACTATGTAGGACCACAGACTTATCCTGTAGCTGCAGGAGGGGGAGACTGAAAGGCCATAACACAGCATCCTTGCTTACCAACTCTGCATTCCAAAGACAGAGAGAGAGCCACAGCTGGACTGGGCCGGGTTTCTAGGGGAGGGAGGGGCTGCTAGTGGGTCTGTGATGTAACGGCATGTACTTAAAAACATGTTGAACGATTTACCCATGTATGAAAAATTCTAGTAAAGCCCAGAACTAGAAGCTGTCTTTTTAAAAGCCGCAGAAGAAAAATAATTTTTCTAATATACATTCTCTTTATGCCAGTGGTCCCAAAATATAAGAGGTCAGAAGAAATTTCTCAGAGATGTGTTTTAAAAATGTAAATTCTTAGTGTTAGCCTGTGATCTAGGGACTTGAAGAAAGTGAGAGGTCACCCACAAGGTCTAGTAAGAGGTGCCCGTCTCCTGACCTGATGATGATAGGAAAGAGGAAGGGGGAGCTGCGGGCAGAAAATAGCAGTGCGTCCCCAGCCAGAGGAGGCCTCTTCAAACCTGCCCTGCTGATGGTACCTCAGCTGCTTTTCTTCACATCTGCCATTCAGCTTTTGAAGCCATGGCAGTACTTAGTGTTTATTTGAAATTCTGTTCACTTAAATGTATAGAGAAAAAAATTTCTTTTTCTTGGAATACTTTTAAGATATATACCATGCTTCAAAATGCACAATACATAGGCTAAACTAGAGACATTTTTGTCCAATAAAGCTCTTTGAAAAGAAAATGTTACCAAGAATTAGGTATTGAGAAAAGTAGGCTCTGATACGAAGCAGCGAGGCTCTGAGGGAGTCATCTTGTTCGCTTTAGACTATTTCAAACAGAGTACAGGAATTACAGGAAGGGAGACTTCAAGTGTTGGGGAGAGACGAGTCATGCCTTTCAGAAGCTTGTCAAATGCCAGCATTCTAAATTTCATGCACTGAACTTAGGAGAGTCCAATATAGCACACAATATCTGTCACTTTCTATCCATTTGGCAAAGACTTCAGAGAGACAAATGTTAGAGACTTGAAAATGGAGACTTCTGGAAAAATGACCAAAGCCAGAAATAAAGCTGTACTAATTAGAAAACAAATAATTAAATGGCCAAACCCGAATGTTGTGTGATGCTGAAAAGACAAATTTCTAAAGCACGCCATCTGTTTTACAACTTTTTATTTTCCTCTACTACAGATCTACTCCATACTTTTTACAGTGATCTCGCTGCTAGGCCAGAAATAATTACAGCATAGAATCCTAGAAGAGATCAAAATAGTTACAGAAGAGGGCAGATATACTACATTCCTGAGAGAATGCCATGGTTTAGCCTTAAAGAAAAAGAATTGTTATTCAAAGAAATGGTTCAAAATTGTAAAAAGAAAATTAGAGATTTTTAAAATTGATACCATAAGATATTTATGGCATCTAAACTTATCTGGGCCTCTTCTAGATGTTGTAGTGTTAAAAGCATGTTGTGAGGCCTCTTCTGTCTTTCCATGACTCTTAATTTATTTCTTAAGCCTGGTGGTTTTACGTGGCATCTATGTACTCATGATTCCCCAGTTTATAATTCCAGTTTCAGACCTATATCTACTTATCTAGTTGACACATCTACTTTCCTATCACATGGCATTTTAAACTTACCACACCCAATTCAGAGCTTTTGACTCACCACCCAAGTCCTATAGGGAGAATCTACTTTTCCATAGCTGTCTGCATGTCAATAAATGGAACCACTGTTCAACCAGTTGATGTAAAATCTAGATTTCATTCAGTATTTCTCCCATGTCTTTATTATTCATGCAATTCATCATCAAATTCTGTGGTTCCCATTTCCTCACCCCTCTGCCATCTCTCTCTTTTTCTCCAGTGCTCAAGATCAAACAAACCCGGGGCTTTGGCATGCTATACAAGGACCCTGAAGCTGAGCTATAGCCACAGCCCTTTCATTCACACTTCTAAATCCTGGATCTCACATGTGTTTTTCTTTGTTTCTGTTGTTACTATCATAGCTAAACTGCCACCAGCTCTCAGAAATGATACCTCAATATTTACCAAATTCTCTTTCTCTAAGTCATTGCCCACATAATGCCTGGGATGGCTTTATTAAGAATATAACTACACAAATAATTTTCATTTCAAATATAATTGTATTTGCATCCTTGGTATCTAAAACAGTGTCTAGCTAAATATATATTTAATTTTTAGTGAATACTGTCAATAACAAGCTCATATAATGCTAGTAACTTCTAATATCAAGTCTTGGGCTTTTCTTATGACCTCTATGGACCTTATGACAGTGAATTGTGCACTCAAAAGAAATCATTCATTATTCAGTAATTCACTGTTTATTGAAAATTGTAATAACTAGGATTAGGCTTGCTTGCATATTCCAAAGTGCCCTAAAGATAGAAGAAATTTACTTTCTTGTCAAACAAAAAATTTCTGGAATGAACTGGCATAGTGACTTTGTGAACTATAAGCCCTGGTGACCTGTATTTTATTGTTGTTTATCAACCCCTGTTTGTAGTTCTGCTTTGTTGTCCAGCATGGCTACTCAATCACTAGCCATCACATTCCAAGTCACCAGGAAGGAGGAAAGGCACGAAGAACACCATGCCTACTCCATTTAGGAGAAGACCACATGTTTCCTTCACATCTCATTAGATGTGAATGGTGACTAACACAGAAATCTAGGGAAAAAACACACACTTAACTAGATAGCAGTGTTTCCAGCTAAAGATTGCCCACGTTCCAGCTGTGATTGGGTCCTGTTCTGGCGTAGGAATACAGAGGCCCAAGTGTCTGCACCAAGGTCTGAAGTCTAATGGTGGATAGCAACATGCAAATAAACAGACTAAATATTTCAGCCTAGGTAACAAAGTATTTGGAAACATGTTTTCCAAGGTCCCCCAAAGACTCTCTGGACTCAAAGAGCTGAGTGAGCTATAACTGGCTCTAGAGCTTTACATCTGGAACCTGTTCGGACTGCCTCACTCTGCATAGGTTTCATAAGACATTTCTCAGCTCCCTTCTCCTGGCCATGAAGCCTCTGTGACAAGAACAAAGTTCATTTGAATGTCTATAAATGCATACAAGCAACTGTAGTGACAGTCATAACCATTTGGAACTGCCCATTTCAGAAATGTGTCAAGACTCACTATTCCTTTTTAACTTGTCAGAAGATGGAACTAATTGACTATTTCAAGACTATAAGACCATGTAAAATGAGTGATGTCAGAAAAAAAGTTTTTTTAAAAAGGAGTATCATAACTTACTGTCAACCATTGGTTATCTAGAAGTTCCTTAGCTGTGATTCTGTGAGCAGGATCTACTTTCATAAGTTGTTTCAAAACATTTTTTGCTGCAAATAAAGGGGAGAAAACTTTGAAATCTTATTTCTCATAACCTCAGTTAATGGCACACATCAGCTGCACATGGTGGCACAGGCTGGTAACCCCAGCTACTTGAGAGGCTGAGGCAGGAGGGTTGTTCAAGTACACACCAAAAAACTGAGACAACTCAGAGAGAGACACACACACCCCAAAACCACTAAAAATACAAATCAATACAAAAATTACTCATTTCCCATTTATTTAGGCTATGGTTGCGTAACACAAAGGACGCCAAGGATCATCAATACATAAGCCTAAAAAAAATAGAAGTTGAATAACTTCTGTTGCTGGGTTACCCGGATTAATGATTTCTAGTGAAAGTTGGGCACACAACAGCAAGTTTTCACTTTAATTTTTTAATTGGTATTTTTTTGTTTTGTTTTGTTTCTGGAAGCATGGACCATGAACAAGCACAGTGAAGGTAAAACTATTTCCACGAGCAAATATCATTTAATTCTAAAGTAGATTTTATGATTAACCAGAGATTAACAAAGGTTTTATTAGTGGCCAATTTCCTTATATTAATTGTTTGATTTAGTAAATAACAACAAATCCATACTCACCAGAATCACTTATGGAATCCCAGATTGGATGTTCAAATCGTAGGTCTCCCTTTTTTATTAATTCAAAGAGCTTTTCTTCCGAGCTTGCCAAAAAGGGTGGCTCTCCACACAGTCTAAACAAAGGCAGTCATTTGTTCAAATGTTTTCAACATAAGATCACTAAAGATTAACTTTCTGCGGGACTTGGAAGCAGGGATGCTTTGCAGGTAAGTAATGGACGGAAGAAGAGAAGGTGCCTCTCTGGCTGGAGAGTGGAAGCCATAGGGCTATCCAGCTCAGTGCTGGTCTCATCTCAGTGCATAGGTCAGTGCACTCAGACCTGCAAATGCCCCAGGCTTCTGTGGGGGGGGAGACACTAGGATTAAGGGTTACAGTGCAGGAAGATGTGTGAGGGTTGAGTACAGAAAGACAGTGGCATGAGCAAAGGGAGGTCGCCACTTAAAATCCACATTGTACACCAGATTATAGGAGCTCATAAATGGTTATCAAAGACTGTCAACACTCATAAGAGTTTAATGTCCAGGCAAGAGTTTTGTCTGTGGTAAATAATATATCAACTGTTAGTAATGGTAACAATAAAATAAAATAAAACCAAAAAATAACCCTGGGAATTTCTGTAGATTCTGAGCCAAAACCGAAAGGGATTAAAACAGGCACAATTGTATCTTCCATAATAGTATTCAAAGGAAGGTCAGGATGAAAATCATCAGTGAGAAAGGGCAGACACTGGGTAAACAAAAAGCCAACAGCAGTACAGCCCAAGCACCATGGGTAAAGCAAGCATGGGCCTTCCTGCATCTATAACACAAGGACTTTTGTGTTGGCTTCTTTTAGCAGAGCTTGGGGACAAGCCAACCAAGCTGAGTCATTAGCTGATCCAAGCCAGAACTATAACAGTACACTTCCGAGTTGAGTTCGGTGCCTCAGGTACATTCTCAGTAAATGTTAACATAGTCATCAACAACAACCCCAACATCTAAAGACAAGCAGCAGGTATGTCCAGGGAGACCCAGGCAAAAGGTGACACTGCAAAGTCAGCTTGGCATGTCAACGCCTCAACTCTCAGGCATAGACCTTCCATCTTTACTAAAAACAAACTGGCATTATTCCATTCATTATACTTGCCAAGGTGCAGTCTGTTCTCAGTATAATACAGCCTAAGTCTTTCACATTTTATATTTTTACTGACTTTCCTCAGTTATATTTTAGAAGTTTTATTTTAAAAATTCAATTGTGAACATTTTCTGACCAAACTAAAATTTGGTATTTTATGACAATGACAATGACAATGAAGGAACCAGCAGTCAAGGACACGATCTGGAGAAGCAGAGAGCCTCTCCTGCAAGAGCTTCTTGTTAGGGGATCAGGATTTGTCAAGCTGTCCTACAAATTCTTACTTTAATACTTTTTATTTCTCAAGCTCATTCTGACACTTCTTTCTTCTTACTTGGTTTACTATTGCTTAGTTTTAAAATGGAATTTTAAAAGCCATAGAACACAAAAAGGAAATAACCAGAAAAATGGTTGTATGGACACTTACTATCTATTATAACAAGTACAGGCCAGCTAAGGCCCAGCTCATTGAGCCTGTTATCAAGCAGTGATATGCATGGCCCCCAATCTCTTAGCAGCCTCTGCAAGCGACTATAGCTTAAGGGCTACATTTTAAATTTTCCACTTTTTTCTGTCCTTTGCAATTTTATTTACGCAAAATGTATCTAATGGTTGGTCAATCAGCAGCATATGGAACTTTATGACAGCAATTTCCTAGCACGTCCAGAAAAGGGAATCCAAGACGTGAAAAATGCCTCTTAAAGTTTCCTGTTGTTTTCTGCTGCATTCATAGGAATCAGGACAGCAGAGGATAGGAACCATAGAGAGCATTTATTTATGTTAATTTCACCTTCAGAAAGTATGTTATCATTGTTCAATTAAGTAGAAAGGAATCTGAGTTAACTGATAAACAAGGAAGTAGCCCTCATGGAGAAGGTACTGTGCTCAGGGTAAAGAGAATTATTTCTAGTGCCACAAGGCTCAAACAGATTAATGGGTAGGCACTGGTGAGCTAAGTGAGAATCTTCTGCGAAGAAAGGAAGATGCCATTACAATGATGTGCAACCACACTCTGGAGCAGAAACATTCAAATTAGATACTTAAGAAAAAGGAAAAAAAATGAAAGGTAAGTAATACACTTGCTTTCCTTAACAGCAAATTCAAAGAGTAGCAAACACCATATGGATTGTGTAGATGATTCTTTATGCAGATTAATATGGACTTTTGAAGACAGTCTTAAGAGTATAAAAGATTTATTTAAATAGTTACATGTTAATTAAAGACTAAACTCAGGATTTCTGCCCCATGATTCTAATCGGCACAAAGCTTTATGAATCCATTCATACTTTACGCTGTCTAAGCAATGACACATGTGAACCAACCCAGTTACAGCCGCAGTCACATCATCTGGCTTCTGCTGCCTGTGTATCCCATTTCACACAACTGTGAAGATGGAACTACAGTGATGTTAGTATTTAGACACGATATGGAAGAGATAGTGCACAGCAAAATCTCCAACATGACCATAAAACTAATGTTGCATTGACATTAAAGTATTCAGAGTCACCCAAAGACACAACAATGGCCACTAACTTTTCAGAACACCTCTTAAAAATTCACTTAATTCAATTTAACAAGTGAATTGAGTACTGAATATGGGCTGACTGTTGTATCGGATGCCAGGGATGCAAAGATGAATAATTTGAACTGTCTTTCACAGAACTTAAAACAAAGAAAATAGATATGATCAATAGAATATTGTAATATTACCATATAATTTGGTGTTTAAAAGTGTTATTATTCACCGGAAGGTTGAGGTGCACACCTTTAGTCCCAGCACTTGGGAGGCAGGGACAGGCGGATCTCCATGAGTTCATAGCCAGCCTGGTCTACAAAGTGAGTTTGAGGACAGCCAGGGCTGTTACACAAAGAAACCCTGTCTCAAAAAACCAAAAGAAAAAAAAAGTGTTATTGTTCATACATCACAATGAGTGCTATCAAAGGTACATGTGTACAAACAAAACTTACTGCTTAAATATTTTTATATTAGTACTGTTATTGTCATATTGAGACAGTCTCATGTGGCCTGGAGCAGACTATGTAGCCAAGGGTGACCTTTAAGATCTGATCCCCTGCCTCCATTTCCCTAGTGCTGAAGTTGTAGGCATGAACCACCACACCTGGTATATGCAACTCTTGTGTGCTGGGCAGGCATTTTACCAACTAACATCCCAGCCACATTGTTTTTATTTGAGTGTTATGTTTTGTATAATTTTTTTAAAATGATGCCTTAAATCCTCTGTTAAATGAAGAAAAAGTTTATACATAATAAATATATATTTTCTGTGGTAAGGTAAGAGTTAGGAAAACAGAAAGCTTTAGTATTTGGCCAACCTATGAGAAAAGTTCACAGAGAAAAAAAAAGTAAGCACTCATGGCACACACATTTGCGAATGCACACATAAATCATACACACAACATGCAATGCAGAACGTGAGTAATAAAGAGTAGCCTAGAGTCATCACAGAGAAAGGCAGGTACATGAAAACACATAGGCAGCCCAAGCCTGGAAAAGAGAGCTAGAGTGAGGTTGTGAACGGTCTGCTAAGTCACACTGTGTCAGATGGACCTAGAGGGCTTTCGTCCAGAAGGAGTATGATGCAGACAATAATCCGTGAGCAGTGTAAATAGCAGATGAAGTGGAGGATGAACAGAAGCAGGAAGACAGCCAGAAAGATCCTGAAATGACAAGGCCAAAGAGAGAAGACTAGGTTCTCACCGGGAATAGGTGAGAACACTTCACAAGTAAATGTTCCAGGATTTAGGATTTGATTGAATCATGAGAGCAAGAGGAAAGGAAGAGCAAGAATTCCTGAGGCTTTCACGGTGCCCAGGGAACTGGGAAGTACAAAACACTCTCTAAATCCTGAAGCAACCTCAACCTAACCTTGCCTGTACATGTGGGCAGCTCTAAGGCTAGTTGGCCCTACTTCCCTATTCCTGATGGGTTACAGGTGAAGCTCTAAGCTGCAGCAAGGGATCAGGAAGGACAGATTTCCACTTAGCTTGGATTATGTGGGACACTCTTGCATTTGTAGATCGGTGCAAAGCAAAATTGAACGTTGTGAATGTATAGCATTGAATAAATAAATCACTTAGGAGGTGATCCTGAAAACTAGTGAGAAAGCAATCAGAGCAACATCCTGATTTCGATTTTAAATGACACCTTTAAAAATACATTGTTTAGTTTTAATTTAAAATCTATGTCAATCTCCATCAGAGACTTCCCTTTTATTTACCCAGGACATTCCACCGGCTACTTACAAAAGGTACATTATGACACCTATGCTCCAAATGTCACACTGCTGGCTGTACTCATGGGCATTGATAACCTCTGGGGCTGCCAAGTAAGCAGAAATAAAATAATATTAATAATACAATAAATGACTTTTAATTGCTTAAATACAAAGCATGAAATACGTGCTGATGTGTTGTAATTTATTCCTCCAGAGGGGAAAAAAGGAGCCAACAGCAGATGCTGAATGAATAATGTACAGGCCTTCCAACTGATGTCACCAAATCCTCCCTCCTATCAATTAGCTCCTAATGGGACAATGGCATAAACTGTGTGGCTAAAGGTGCAGTTCTTTATTCCTGTGGAATGATTAAGTCATTTTACAAAGGTTGTGTAGTTAGAAGACAATAATATCTTAGACTTTCCCCCAAATAGAAGGAAACACACAACTTAAGTAAATATTATTTAAATCAAGGCCAATCTGAATTCATAGAAAAGCTAATATTGTGGTTATGAATCACTTCAGTAGAATAATGATGATAATAATAATAATATCATAGCACTATTATGACAGAATATATATTATTTCTCACATTTTCTAGGTAAGAAAACTGAGATAGAAAGCACGCTCACATCAGACTGGGTCAAAACATCAATGAGTCCCAGTGCAGGATGAGGTTCCAAGTATGTGTGACTCAATTCGGTGCTCTCTGATTGTCACAACAGGGTCCCTTCAAACAGCCTCTCAAAGCAGCACTGTGCCTTTAACCTTAAGCTGGCACACACTTTAAAGATGAGGTTTTAGGGTTTTGCTTTATAGTGGCTGGCTTTTTAAAAAGCCAATATGATACTGAGGAATAGATCTACTTTACTTTTACAAATGGATATCTTTCTTTAAAGAAAATGAAAACACAGTCACAAATACAGAAAATAAGATACATGTATATATTTCAAAAGAACATTAAAATTTACTAAGTGTTTTTGCACAATAAATTGTGTTCAGAATCCTATAAGCCAGTCCTGCAGGTCTGACGCCCTCTGTCAGTAAAGGTGGAAAACATGGAGACTTGACTGCAGTTGCACACTCTGGAGAGTTTCCTATGGGAAAGTTGTGTGCTTATTGAGAAAGCGCTCCCAGTCTCCTCCACTAACACACTGTCCATTTGCATGTATGCCCTCACAAGTGAGTGCACACACTTGAGTGTGCACGCACACACACTCTTTCATAACAACTACTAAAAACAAATGGAATTTTGTTTTCTCTACTCTCTATGACTAAAGGGATGGAAAAATAACCAAAAGAAGCCAACAGATACACGGGAGAATGAGAAAAGGCTAAGCTATAACGCTTCACAAATTAAATAATCTGCCTCCAAATAATTGAAAATTGACAGCATTCCTCTTTTTGCAATTATTGTGTGTGCTTGCAGTCTTTAACTGCATGCAAAACTTTAATTACAGAACCAGCAAAGTGCAAGTTGTTCCATGGAACGGTCTGGCATGAAGGCGAATTCCAAGGTGAGATTCGGTGAGGGCTGCCTTCCCACTGCACAGCAGGGACCAGGACTCTGGCCTCCACTTCCCCATCTTCCTAATTATCAGGGGCGTTTCTACGTGCACTGTCATCCCAGCCCTCGGGGAGGCAGAAGCCAGAATAGCTGTGCCAAGGAGCCATTTAGGAAGTCAGCAAAGCTCCGCAAACCATCTGTCTTCCCTCTTGTTCTCTCACTTGTTATCAGTGTAGACAACTAATAAGCAGCCATAAAACTCAGGGTGCCTGGATATATTTTCCCCATGTAACTACAGACCAGATGTCTTTTGCCAATGGGAGGATATGAACAGAATCTAAAGTAGCCTTTTCCCAAGTAAGATAAAACAATTTAAAAACTTTATGCATCAAGTAGGCAAAAAAAAAAAGCAATGAACAAAGTATACTTTTCAGCAATAAAAACAGATAAACCACTGATACAACAACAAGGATAAAATAGCAAAGTCATCCTGCGGAACAGAAGACACACACGCACACTGTATGACTCAAGCACAGTTGAGTTGGGTGACGGAAAGCACTGGAAATTATTGGGATGTGAGAGGGGAGATGGTGGAGACAGACAGGGTAATAAGGGCTGTGGACTCATTGGCATGTGATTATCTAAATATGTAGCCTATGGCAATCCTGTCTCAGCCTCCTGAATGCTGAGCTTACAGGTTTGGGCTACCACACCTTCAGGTGTTCTGACTTTTTCAAGTCTCCTCACTTACCCATATAGATAGGAGTGCCACATGTGGTCTGCATCATGCTTTCACTCCTGGAGCCATGCTTCCTAACCGCCAAGCCGAAGTCAGTCACCTGAGAGCAGACACACAGGCTCAGTCATCCAGTGCCTTCCACCCACTGGAACTGCATTTAATCTTCACTTCGCAGGGATGGGCTTTTCCTTGGATTACTAACAAAGATGGACTTTCCCTCTCCCCCCCCCCACCCTCTCTCGGTGCAGAAAAACTCTGTAGAGAGAATCCAGGATGTTAACTGTTCATGCCTTTTGCTAATTCTTCTTGGTAAACTGTTTATAAGTTCTTTCATTGCAAACTACAGCCTAGCCTTTGAATGTGTTATCTATTTTTCTGATTCTGGAGTTGTGGTCCAGTGAAGGCACTGTTTAAGTAAAAATAGTTATCCTTAGATGGGCGGTGGTGGCACATGCCATTAATCTCAGCACTCGGGAGGCAGAGGCAGGTGATCTCTGTGAGTTCAAGGCCAGCCTAGGCTACAGAGTGAGTTCCAGGAAAGGTCCCAAAGCTACACAGAGAAACCTTATCTCAAAAAACAAACAAAAAAATAGTTATCCTTATCAACACTTACTAAGACTCTTTTTTAACATGTACAACTAGTAAATACTTGTTTTTCATTACTATTATTTCCTTTGTGATTATCAAGTATGCTAATTAAACAATTTCTACACTATTTAAAATGAAGAAATGAGAAAAAGGCCCTCTCCACCAGGGCCTGGTCACAGATGGCCTGAAGGCCTTTTGCGGCCTTTAGTCTCCTGCTCCATTCTAAAGCTTGGTAATTACACCTTGAGTTACTAAATATTTGGCATGTACCCTTGGTTGTCTCTCAAAATGGAATGTCCTTGGACCCAAAGCAGAAACAAAGGCAAATTTATGGATCATACAAGCAAAGCATAGGTTCTTTACTCACACTAAATGCAAAATTGGCAGTACCTTATAAAGTATAAGGAAATGTTCTCATTATGTGAGATTATCAAACCCATCTTTTTTTTGCTTTGAGACAGGGTCTCACTCTGTAGCCCAGACCAACCTAAAACTCATTATGTAGCCTGGCTTGCCTTAATCTCATGGCAATCCTTCTGTTTCAGCCTCTCCTGTGCTGGGAATACAAGTGTATGTACATCAACATGCCTTGAATCAATTACTCCAGGAGTTTCCATAAATATTCCACTTGAAGCATAATACTATCTTTCTCCATACAGCATCTCTATAGATACAAAGCATATTAAAGCCTTCATGATCCAGTTCCATTATTTGGAGAGCACTGAGTCTCTTGTTTACCAAAGGTTAACTGAGCATATTCTGTTGCAAATACTCCTCCACATTCCAACAAAGAATAAAATGCCTAAAGTTCCTGACTTCGTGGACTTTAGAGTGGACTATGAAGAACATTCACTGAAGGGTATCAGTAGTGTTGCTGAGTCTGTTTCTGCTGCATATGGTTTAGCTTCTGCAACAGCAGCTCACAGACACATTTGCTTCTAAAGTTAACACTTGCACACATTTTGAAGGCAGCCACTATTAAAGTGCTAAGTAATAAATAATGTATTCTATCATTTATTTGACATTAAGGAACACTTAATTTGAATAAAATCTTCAAGAATAAACACTTGGCACATTAATTGTGGTTAAGACATAAATATTAATATCCAGGAAAAATTTCAATGAGAAATACAGACTGTAGCATTAATTTAGTATCAAAAGCACAGCCAAGGTGTGTTTTTCTCTAAATCTGTAACACATTTACATCAAATTACCAGACATAATTTTGAAATTAATTAGAATTCAGAGCATCTGTTTGCTTGCTATTAACTAATGATTTAGAACTATCCAAAAGAATATGCACTTTGAAAAACACATTCAGTAGCATCACTTAGCTTGTAAAATTATTTTTATCGTTAGAACTTCTTTTGTGAATTTTTTACTTCTTAGCACAAATGGCTTAGACTCAAAAGTCACCAAAATGTGTCTAAGATGTCTGTAGCTACTTTGATGCTGGTTGTTTTCAGGCAAATATTGAGTGGTATTTCTAGGCTCTTACCTTTATGTTTAAGTTCATCTCATTGTTATCATCCATGAAGCTGCTTTTAACCATTATGTTTTCCAGCTTTAGATCTCTGTGCACTATATCTACCAGGAAAATAGACAAGCAAAGTGAGTGACAGAAGGACAGAGAGGACAGAAGCAGGACACATAAATAAAGTATGAGGGAAGGCTGAGTGCAGTTCTGTCCTCTTCTGTCTTTACTTCCACCCCTCTTCTCCGCAGCTCTATCAGAAGCCATTTTCTCATCGCTACATGCTCCCTGTTGTGACAGCCTAGCCTCTCAGCCTGGTGAGTGTGGAAGGGGAGCTGCGTGAGGCTACACGTTTCCAGGAGAACGCAGGCAGCCTGGATCACAATACAGGCCAGGTAAGGTTTTCTGTATCCTTGGGTCTCTGTATAATGTTACTGTCAACACAAACATTTTAACACATTGTAACTTGGCTACATGTGCATAAACTGTATTTCAGTGCATTTTTCTAAAATATCAGCATATATTTCACACTGTTCATATGTTGAAATAAAAAAAAACACATATTTTGTGACACAAACCTCCAGTTGAACAGGTCAGAGTTGAGGTGAGATTTCTGTGTGCATTCAAATTCAAATAATGTATCAAACACTCCTCCACAGATAACTGACTGACTCACATCTACAGCAAACACTTCCTAAGCTGTGGGAAGCTAAGTGTGTCCCATCTAGGGACATGAAGCTGAGGCAGACCTGGACTGGCAGTGTAGCTAATCACTTACAGTTCTCATATATCCCCCAGGCTTTTTCCTTGGACTTATTACTGATTCTGGTACTCCTCCTGACACTACTTACATAAATACCATACCATTTTAATTAATATATTTTTGTGATGTTCTTATCCTTGGCAGGGGCAAATCTCCCTAATACCCCATATTTTTATCTTAGTTATTCTCATCATTTGAAGAATACTTTTTAAAATCTCACCCCTCAGAAGTGATGTTTTTATAGAAACATACTGAAAACAAGTGTCTCCCTAGACGAGAGAGAACTGACACAGGCGTGACCTTCAGCCCCTGCAAGCCTTTCCTGACCTGAACCATTCTCCAGTCCCAGCCTGCATTCCTCAGATCTAATTCTGACACACACTTGAGCTCCCTGCACTTCACACAGCTCTCCAGTAAGAAATTGCCTCACTGCATGACAAGCTGTTTCCTGTACTCCTTCTCCTACTAGCCTAAGCTACTTGAGGGGCAGAAGCCTTAAGTTTTCATCTTTATAACTCTGGGGCTGAGCACAATGCAGTAGATGCTGAGGAAACTGAGATCCCGAAGCCTGTCACTGACCTTTGTGGAACAAGTATTTTCTCATCTGTAAAATGAGAATTTCTAAAGTCACACCTAAGAACCTCAAGGAAAAGGGGAGCATGGGACAAAGTGGCAACAGGAACACTGGAGTCAGTAAAGTTTTAGAATAAGTAGAGTTCCTTTGAAATGTAGGTTGGCAAATTACTCCAAATGATACCTTAGTGGATAATGTTACTATACATTTGTCAAACCCAACAGAATAAAAAATACCAATAATGAGTCCTAACGTAAACTGCAGGTTTAGGTGACCATAATGTGAGTCATTCTGCACATGTGGCACCAGGGTGGACACTGGAAACTTCTGTTCCTTCTGTTCTGAACCCAAATGGCTCTAAAACTGAAGTGTATTATTTTACAAGGCTAGAGCAGGTACATTTTTAATAATATTAATATAAAAATATTTTAGGGAAATTCACTTTATCTACTTTGTTTTTTATCATATTAGCCACATTTTAAACTTCTAGAATAAGAATGATCATGATTGTTTGCTCTTCCATATACAGTGTAATTAAATGTCTGCATTGTTACTAATTAAAATGTCTATAAATACAACTAAAAGGAAAAATATGGAAAATGTACTTGTTATTCAGTTACATTACCAAGTTCTACCAATGTGATTATGAGTCCTAAAGACCATCCCACTTAAACAAACAACAGTGGCATCTTCATTTATGGAGATGGTGAGGCTTACAGTCCTCTTCTTACCGTTGTCATGAAGATATGCGATGGCTGATGCAAGATGTTGAATTATCAACCTGGTCTCATTCTCTGAGAAGTACCCTTTTTTATCCAGGACTTCTTTGAGTTCTCCATCCTCACAAAGTTCCATCACAAGGTACATTTTCTGACATTACAGATTTAAAAGTCAGAATAAGAGAAAGTTATGAAGTTTTATATGTGTGTGTGTGTGTGTTATACATCATAAGTATGATCACAAGCTTAATTTACTCATGTGAAACTGCTCTACATATCATACAAGCTATTATACTGAATACAAGAGGAACAAAGGAGCAGGAGACATGGCGCTGACTTTAGGAAGTTCAAAAGAGTTACAGTATCATATGATATACACTAACAGCCCAACATGCCATGGGGCTGTGGAAGAGAGGCTGCCTCTGCATAAAGAATGCTCATCAAGGAGAGTTCAGGCTGAATGTGTGAGCAGTGATTTCTCTGCAGGGAAGGTGGAGGAAAACCAAGCAGAGCTGGTGGCCAGTGTACAAAGCCCCTAAAGCCTGGAACAAAGCAGCTATTAAAATAACACACAAATCGCTGCTAACAGTAATGGAGACTGTTGGGTAGAGAAGGAGATGGTGAAGGGTGAAGCTAACAGGAAAGATTGGAACACGTTTCTGAAGAGCTTTGGATGGCATGTTCAAGACTATGGATTCCCATGCCCCATATGAAACAAGGCATTGGAGGTGTTTAAGTCAGAGTCTTGAGGTAAAAGCTGTATGATGTCAATTTTGCATTTCTAGGTCAACAAACACTACAACAGTAATGTACAGCAGGGCTCAGCAAAATTTTTCTATAAAGACCAAACCCAAGAGTAAACATTATGGTCTCTGTGGACATGGCACAGCTCAGCAGCTGCCTTGAGATCAGCCATGAACAACACAATGCTGTATTTATAGACTCAGAAATCTGAGTTTGGTGTGATTTGAAGATTATGAAACATTACTCTTTTACATTTTGTCATTTATTTGGAAATATAGAGAACTTATCTTATGGGCTCTATAGAAGGAGGCAGCAGGCCAGACTGACTTCATAGGCTACCTGTGTTAACAGGGGGACCTGTAAAGCATGGGCTGGACACAAGAAAGGATGTGGTTTCTTAGTTTTCCTGTTGGGATAAACTATATTGACAAGGGTAACTTAAAGGAGAAAGGGTGTGTTCTAGCTCACAGTTCAAGGTACAGTGTATTATTATGGGAAAGACACTGGCCTCAGCAGAAGCATGAGGTGGCTGACCACACTGCATCTGGTTAGGAAGCAGAGAACAGTGAGTGCTGGTGCTCAGTTTACTTTCTCCTTTTTAAAAACTATTTTTAAATTTTTTAATTGATTTAATTGTGTGTGTGTTCCTGTATGCACCAACATACCTATAGAGATCAAGGCACATAAGTTGGTTCTCGTCTACCATGTAGATCCAACTCATGTCATTAGGCTTGGAAGCAAGCACCATAGCCTATTGAACATTCTCAATAACTCCCACTTTCTCCTTTTTATTTGGTCTGGTACTCCAATCTTTTCCATAGGCACTGCCATAGACATAATTACCCTCCGTGTTTCCATTCTAACATATATTCTTGAGTTTTGTTGTTCTGAAGATTTGGGGGTTGGATTCTGTTCTTGTAACAGCTGCTAATCCAACTTCTATGTTCAGTCAGTATGATTAAAGCAGGGAAAGAGGTACGTATCTTTCTTCCTAGAGCCACAATTCTGATTCACTGAATTTCAGGATGCTTTAGGGTTTTAAAGTATCTGAAACATCTGACAAATAAATTTTTAAAGTGGGCCATACTTTACTGACAGTGCTATAGGATGGCTAGGAACATGGAATGGAAAGTGAACTATTTGGAAGGGAAAGTTGCATTAGCAGTAGTTACAATATAAATTGACACCAATTTACAAATGCATGAGGGGCTGGACAGATAGCTGTTGTTAAGAGCACTGGCTACCACAAATAACATAAAATACCTTGGGGTAACTCTAACCAAGCAAGTAAAAGACCCGTATGACAAGAACTTTAAGTCTCTGAAGAAAGAAATTGAAGAAGATATCAGAAAATGGAAAGATCTCTCATGCTCTTGGATAGGCAGGATCAATATGGTAAAAATGGCAATCCTATCAAAAGCAATCTACAGATTCAATGCAATCCCCATCAAAATCCCAACACAATTCTTCACAGACCTTGAAAGAACAATACTCAACTTCATATGGAAAAACAAAAAACCCAGGATAGTCAAAACAATCCTATACAATAAAGGAACTTCCAGAACCATCCCTGACTTCAAGTTCTACTATAGAGTGGAAGTTAAAAAAAAAAAAAAAAAGCTTGGTACTGGCATAAAAACAGACAGGTGGATCAAGGGAATCAAATTGAATAACTTGACTTTAATCCACACATCTATGAACAGCTGATTTTTGACAAAGAAGACAAAATTGTACAATGGAAGAAAAAACATCTTCAACAAATGGTGCTGGCATAAATGGATATCAATAGGTAGAAAAATGCAAGTAGATCCATATGTATCACCATGCACAAAACTCAAGTCCAAATGGATCAAAGACCTCAACATAAATCCAGTTACACTGAACCTGATAGAAGAGAAAGTGGGAAGTAGCCTTGAACACATTGGCACAAGAGACCACTTTCTAAATATAACACCAGTAGCATAGACATTGAGAGCAACAATTAATAAATGGGACCTCTTGAAACTGAGAAGCTTCTGTAAGGCAAAGGACATAGTCAATAAGACAAAATGGCAGCCAACAGAATGGGAAATGATCTCCACCAACCCCACATCTGACATAGAGCTGATCTCGAAAAATATATAAAGAACTTAAGAAACTATACATCAAAATACTAAATAACCAAATTAAAAAATTGAGTACAGATCTAAACAGAGGATTCTCAACAGAAGATTCTCAAATGGCTGAATACATTTAAGGAATTGCTCAACATCGTTAGCCATTAGGGAAATGCAAATTAAAAGGACTCTGAGATACCATCTTACACCTGTCAGAAGATTAAGAACACTAATGACAGCTTATGTTGGAGAGGATGTGGAGTAAGGGGAACACTCTTCCACTGCTGGTGGGAGTGCAAACTTGTACAGTCACTCTGGAAATCAGTATGGTGGTTTATCAGAAAATTGGGAATAAACCTACCTCAAGACCCAGCAATACCACTTTGGGACATATATCCAAAAGATGATCAATCATACCACAAGGACACTTGCTCAGCTATGTTCATAGCAGCATTATTCATAATAGCCAGAACCTGGAAACAACCTAGATGCTCCTCAACCAAAGAATGGATAAAGAAAATGTGGTGCATTTACACAATGAAGTATTACTCAGTAGTTAAAAAAAAAAAATGGCATCATAAAATTTGTAGGCAGATGGATGGAACTAGAAAAAAATCATCCTGAGTGAGGTAACCTAGACCCAGAAAGACAAACATGGTATGTACTCACTCATATGTGGATATTAGATGCAAAGCAAAGGGTAACCAGGATACAATCCACAACCCCAAAGAAGCTAGGTTAAAAAGGAGGACCCTAAGAGGGACATGTATGGAGGGCCCCAGAAAGGGGAAATAGTATCTTCTGGGTAAACTGGGAGGAGAGGTAGAAGGGAGGGGATGGGGGCAGAGAACATGAGGGACATAGTGGAAGAGCAATGAAAGAGATACCATGATAGAGGGAGACATCGTGGGGATAGGGAGAAACCTGGTGCTAGGGGAATTTCCAGGATTCCACAAGGATGGCCCCAGCTAAGGCTCCTAGCAAGAATGGAGAGGGTGCCTGAACTGGCCTTCCCCTGTAATCAGATTCGTGACTACCCTAATTGTCATCATAGACCCTACATTTAGTAACTGATGGAAGCAGATGTAGTAATCCACAGCCATGCACTGGGCTGAACTGCAGAGCCAATGAAGAGATGGGGGGGGGATCATATGAACAAGGAGGGGGTGTCAAGACCATGATGAGGAAAACCACAGAGACAGCTGACCGAAGTTGGTGGGAGCTCACAGACTCTGGACTGACAGTTGGGGAACCTGCATGAGACCGAAGTAGTCCCTCTAAATGTGGGTGACAGTTGTGAGGTTTGATCTGTTTGCAGGGCTCCTGGCAGTGGGACCAGAACTTATCCTAGATGCATGAACTGGAGTCTATTACCTATGATGAGACATCTTGTCTAGCCTTAATGCAGCAGGGAGGGCTAGGCCCTGCCTCAACTTGGTATGTCAGATTTTGCTGACTCCCCAAGGGAGGCCTTATCCTCTCTGAGGAGTGGATGGGGCTTGGGATGGGAGAGGTAAAGAGGTGGGAGAAGGGGAGGGAAGGGAAACTGAGGATGGTATGTAAAATGAAAAGAAAAATTTTTAAAGAAAAAAAATAAAAGAGCACTGGCTACTTTTCCAGAAGACAGGTTCCATTCCCAGCACCCACATGACAGCTCACAGGCATCTGTAACTCCAGTTCCAGGGGAATCCATCACCCTCTTCTGGCCTCTGAGAGAAGTGCATGTGTGTGGTACACTGACACACAAAATAAGTCTTTTTAAAAAACATTAAATGCGCCGGGCGGTGGTGGCGCACGCCTTTAATCCCAGCACTCGGGAGGCAGAGCCAGGCGGATCTCTGTGAGTTCGAGGCCAGCCTGGGCTACCAAGTGAGTTCCAGGAAAGGCGCAAAGCTACGCAGAGAAACCCTGTCTCGAAAAACCAAAAAAAAAAAAAAAAAACATTAAATGCATGTTGATCAAAGTTATAGTGGTTAAAGTGTATTACTCAAGTCTTTCACAATAGTAGAAACAATTGTGTATATCTAGAGCATACGTAGACTTACAAGAAACCACTACACAATCTGAGTGGTTGATAAGCAGTATACAACCAATTAGACATCCATTTTCGTAGAATAGCTTCAACTGAAAATTGAAGCATTCAATGGAAAGTCTAGACATGTGTGTTTATGGGTAGATCTAGTGCACGTGACTCAAAATCAAACAACACAGAAATGGACAACCACATATGACCATTTTCCTTGCCTTCAAACTCTTGTAGATTTGGGCTCCTGCTTCTACACATGATAGTGTAATAGACTAGTTTGCCCCTCTGCTTAAATAATTTAAGAACTGGAAAGACATTAGTCAGCATAGAGAGCAGTATTCTATGAAAGAGAGAAGCCCATGAGGCAAGCCCCATGATTGTCCTAACCTCTGAAGAGTTGCCGTACCTCAGGGCAAGAAGGAGTTTCAATAAGAGATGATGAGAAGAGATGGGCATCTATGAATTAGGTGGCATCACAAGCCTGCAAAGAACAGCAGCAGTGATGGGAGGGGAGGAAGCTGCTGGAAACTGCCAAGGCCAAGTGTGTAACCTACAGGAGTACACCTTGGAGAACTTTCAGGTCCAAAGGCCTCCATGAATTCAGGAGATGGGAGTCCAGAAAAGCCAAGACAATTCAAGTTTCCAGGGAAGAATATCAAAGAGGGAAAATATGTACACAAATACCCCCCTCCCCCCCCCCCCCCCCGTGCACACACACAAACATAATGGGGGGCAGGGAGTCTTTCTCAAATCTTCAGCAGAATGTTAATCAGTACGTACTTTGTCCCAAAGCTGGGAACTAACCATGTGAAAGGCCAGAGGAGACAGTCATTGGTGCTTATGCATGGCAGAAATACTGTGTTCCCATTAGCCAGAGAGAGAAATCTCATAATTCATGTAGCATTGGAGAGGGTATGAGTATTCAGAAGGCCGCACCTCAGTAGAAGGGTAAATCTAGTCCTATAGAGGATACTCTGTTGTCCCTCACAAAGGATAAATCAAGCACCAAAGGTACTGAACTGTCTCCAAATTACTTACTATGTCATAAAAATAAAGTTCAAGAATCATTACTAGGCCAGATGTGTTGGCATATGCCTGTAATCCCAGCCATTGGAAGCTGAGACAAAAAGTTCACTAATTTCAGGGTTATCTAGTGAGACCATATCATCTCTCCTCAAAATAGTGGTAAGAAGCCGGGCGGTGGTGGCGCACGCCTTTAATCCCAGCACTCGGGAAGCAGAGCCAGGTGGATCTCTGTGAGTTCAAGGCCAGCCTGGGCTACCAAGTGAGTCCTAGGAAAGGCACAAAGCTACACAGAGAAACCCTGTCTAGAAAAACCAAAAAAGAAAAAAAAATAGTGGTAAGAATATAAAAATATAGCACCCCAAATGGTAATTTTTACAATGCCTGGCAGCCAATTAAAATTAACTGGCAACCAGGCTTGAGAGTGCACACCTGAAATTTTAGCACTCAAGCAGGAAGTAGGAAGTTCACAAGTTCCAGGCCAGCCTTGGCTATGTAGGAACTTCCAGACCATCTGCCCTACATAGTAAGACCTCGTATTAACAGACAAAAATAGGTAAATAAATATGAAAGTAACAGATATGCATAGTAAGAAAATATAACCCAGAACAAAGGAGGAAAGCCTATCAAAACTGAATTAACAATGACATACATAATATAATTAGTAGGAAAATGACTTTAGTTCTTATCATTATATTCATGAAGTGGGGAGACACTGAGTATGTTAACGTCATATGTTGACTATACACATGAAGGAAATCGAATTTCCACTGGACAAAATGATAAAACATTAGATATTATAAAAAATTAATGAATCTGACATCATGGTAAAATACAAATTACACAGATTAAGCACAGAAAAATGCTGGAAGATGAGCAGAATAGCAGTGTATTATGAGCAATATCAGGTAATCCAGCATATGTACCAAGTCTTCCAGAGTAGGACAAGGAAACAAAAAAATACTTGACAAAATAATTACTAAAATTATCCTAGATCAGATGAAAATCAAACTCACAGACCCAAGAAGTTCCATGAACCCCAAGCAAAAGAAACTTGAAGAGAACTTTATCAAGATTTATTGAAATCAAACTGCCTAAAACTGATGATAAAAAGGCTGGTAAGGGGGGTGGAGATTTAGCTCAGTGGTAGAGTGCTTGCCTAGCAGGCGCAAGGCCCTGGGTTTGGTTCTCAGCTCCGAGGGGAAAAAAAAAAGAGGCTGGAAAGATGGTTCTGTGGTTAAGAGCATTTGTTACTATTGCAGAAGACTGGCTTCAGTTCCTAGCACCCACGTGGTGGCTCACAACTGTCTTCTCCAGATCCAGACAATCTGTAGTCCTCTTCTGACCTCCCTGAGCACAAGGCACGCAAAAGGAGTACAGACATGTATGCAGGCAAAACAATCATACACAAATAAAATTTTAAAACTGATGACAAAGAACAAAGTTATTCACAGAATATTTGGGGATAAAAGAAATCACAATCCAGGGATGGAGGTATAGCTCAGTGGTAGAAGAAGGACAAGACTTAACATGCACAAGGCCAGGGGTCTGACTTGCAGGATCACCAAAAAGAAAAAAGGACAATTGTGGTCCTGTTGCCAAGCACTTTCAGTTAATACAGTGTAATGCATAACCCAAATTGACTATTAGTAGCTACTTTCGAGTCTGGCAGAGAAAATGAAGAACAATAGCTAACATCTGATGAGACGGATGCATTATACCCATGCTCCCATTAATCTTTAATCCTTCAACAACCAGATGAGTCAGCACTTCACAGGTGAGACACTTACCCAGAGAGAAGTTGAATAACTTGGCCATATTCTCACAGCTAAAAAGTGGTGGAACCAGGATTTAAAGAAACAGACTATCTGTCCACATGCCTAACCACATAGCGTGCTGCTTCCAGGCAGTGCAAGTGATGCCCAAGTTCACCAGGGGAAAAAACGCCTACCGCTAAGATTAGAGAATGATGATATCTAGGACAGAAGGGAGACAAAGCATGCTGGAAAGATGAAGATAAGAACTTGTTATGCCCTGTTCAGCCGATATCCCTGGGAGGCCTGCTCTCTTCTGAAGGGAACGGAGGAGGAGTAGATCTGGGGGAGAGGGGCCCAGCAACTGAGAGGAGTCGGGGGAGGGGAAGCTGCAGTTTGGATGTAATGTATGAGAGAAGAATTTTTTATTGTATTATTTTTATTTTATAATTTAATTTAATTTTACATATCAGCCACGGATTCCCCTGTCCTCCCTCCTTCCGCCCCCCGCCCCAACCCTCTCCCCTGCCCACCCCCCATTCCCATCTCCTCCAGGGCGAGGACTCCCCTGGAGATTCAGCTCAACCTGGTAGATTCAGTCCAGGCAGGTCCAGTCCCCTCCTCCCAGGCTGAGCCAAGTGTTCCTGCATAAGCCCCAAATTCCAAACAGCCAGCTCATGCACTAAGGACAGGTCCCAGTCCCACTGCCTGGGAGCCTCCCAAACAGTTCAAGCTAATCAACTGTCTCACTTATCCAGAGGGCCTGAGAAGAATTTTTTTAAAAAGCATTTTCTACATTGTGCCAAGTAAACCTCTTCAATTTGATCATGAAGCTAACCTTGCAAAATCTTGACAATAATCAAATGGTCTCTAGGAGAGAGACTAAGAGCAAATGCACAAAGATGCCATCTCAGAGGAAGCTCTGCTCACTTTTGGATTTGCATGAAGCTATTCTAGTCTTAAACATTTGTTTCTAATGTGCTACCCAGAACATATAACTAAAGACATCAATCTAATCATTACACACCTAATTATACAATCAATAATAAAAGTCCTCAGGAATGTTCTCATCAATCTCTGGTGACAGACTTTTGCCAAGGACATGAGTAACTGTGCCCCAGAGGGCTACTTTAGAATGGGATGATATTCGTTTTGTAATAGTAACAACCTTCAGACTGTAGTGCCTGGTGGAACTTTACCTTAGGCGTCTCAAACACTTGTTCCAGATGGATGATGTGTTTATGGTTGACACTCTTTAGGATGTTCACCTCCCGCTCAAGTAACTTCACAGCGGAGCTTCCAGCCTTAACGAAGAAACAGATTGCACGTGGGAATGCCATACCTCCTTTCCTCAGTATGAAAGTTAGCTATTTTATGCCTTTTCCTACAGTTCTGTACAGTATCTTTCTTAAATGATACCATGCAGTTTATCCCATAATCAGATCAAATTATGCCCCTTCTTTCCCTTGTCCAATTTCAAGCTGTATTTCATTTGGCCTCAATCTCTTGGACTGTTTCCATAAATTAGCTACAACATGGTCTCTGACCCCTCACAAACTTTAGCATACCTTTTTGATATTTCATTTCCTTCCATCACAGTGATCCTTTCACATTAGCATAACAAAAACAAAATCTTCTAGGGATATCAATCAGAGATGGCTTTATAACAGAAAATTTTTATTTTGTTGTCTTGTTTTGATTTTGTTTATATGTATAATAAACAGAATAAATAATATATTATATTTTTATACATATACACATACAGCAGGGAATGGGATCTTGTATTTAACTTGTATGTTACTTTCTGGTCTCCCTGGTTAACTGAGGAGAGAGAGAGACAGAGACCTTGCCTTCAGACTAATCCAACATCAGCTGTGTCTCCTAACATCTAATCCTTACCATGCCTAGGACAAAAGGTCAGATGAAGAGATCTCCAGGGTACACATGGATGTCCTTCAGATGTAGGTAAGATTGTCTAATCATCTAGAAAATTCTAGGGTGCTCCCCTGCTACTGGACTTGCCATTATCTTATCATAAATCTTCTCTTCTTTTATTTTTTGTCCTTTTTTAACAGAAAAATATTCTTGAAAGAGGTAACAAAGGACTTATTTCTGCAAACACCTTTAGCCCCCAATTTGGGAAAGTACAGAAGGGTTCTTAAGGAAACAGACTGACCATAAGGCAAACATTTTTTTAGTTAAAATTTTACTTAGGGCCATTCCTGCTTCCATTCCCTTTCCTGTTTACCCTTCACCATCTTTGAGTGAGGAAGACACTGGCCACTCTGCTCCACCCACCCGAGTAGGATAAAAGCACATTTTAAGCTTAGCCTAGAGCTCAGAGAAATAGTGACCATGAGGAGTGAATGCCTGTGAAGAGCAGTTCTGCACAGTTAGCACAACCTCCTGCTACTCATCTCAATTCTGTCCCTGCTCTTTCCCCACATGGCTTGACCTGTATGTACTGCAAACATACACTGCCCGGTTCCTGTATTGACAGGATCACTTGATTTGGTTACTTTAGTATACTGTACTCCCAATATCAGTGTGGGAGTGACAGAGTAACTCCTAAAGTTGCAAATACAAATCCCCAGACTGAACCTTTAGCCCTGACCGTGAAAAAGCAAAGAAATGGCATGCCAGGCAGCCCTGTGGTGTGCTACCTTGAGTTCAAAAGATTGTAAAAGATGCTAGAAAGGCTCTTAATTGCTTTATTAAAGCTGGTATGTCACCTCATTAAACTTGGAAATTTGCTATAATTACAAAAAATATATATAGGCTACTGCTTAATTTTATGGATTCAATACTTGTTATCACAAATCCAAGAAGAAAACACCATAATGGTGTCATTTTGCTTCTTTATCCAGACAGAATTTTTTAAAAGTTGATGAGCTCATGTAAAGTTTGAGATCTTAGATTCTGGCTTAAGGAGAAGCCCAGTCCCCTGCCAACAAGTAACCCAGAGGGGTGCAGCAGACACACAGGGACAATAGACTGGATTGGAGTGGGGATTGCCAGTAGTAAGGAAAGAGAATTAAATGAGACAACAAGAAAAGTGTATCAAGTAATTTAGGAGGGCGGCAGGATCTACTTGCAGCTAAGCCGTTCACACTTACAACCCTATGCCTGCATAGACCGACTTCAGAGTCACTCCGGAGTTTACATATTTGGTTATACTGGCTGTGGTGATGCTTTTGCCTTTTCCAGACAACACACGTCTACCTGAGTGCAGGAACCAGTCCTTCACAGGAGACTAGAGCAGCAGTTAGCCCAGCCCTGGCCCTCGGAAGACACAACTTGGGTTAGTATAGAAAGCTGCACTGCCCACTTTTACCCCCACCCTAGCACTGGGCCCTGAGGGTTGCACTGGGAAAGAAGCCTTACCTTTTCTTTATTCACTTTCTTAATTGCCCACTTAGCTCCTGTTTCCTTGTCCGTAACTTCACTGACCATTCCAAAGCTCCCCTGTCCCAATATTCTTCCGAAGGTATAGAATTCCTGGAGACAAAACAAGAGCTCCTCTGTCTCTGTGGCTTTCATCAGGCATTAGAAATGAATACACAAGCTGGGTGTGGTGGCACACTCCTTTAAGGCAGGTGGATCTCTGTGAGTTCAAGGCCAGCCTGGTCTACAAAGGGAGTTCCAGGACAGGCTCCAAAGCTACACAAATAAACCCTGTCTCAAAAAACCAAAAAGAAAAAAAAATGAACACACATTACTGAAAGATATCCGTTCAAGGGAGGAAGAATTCTGTTCCAGGATAAAATCAAATAGAGGTACTATGTATTTGCTTCGGTGGTAACCAATACATCTTAACGAACCACAGTCAGGTCTCAAGGGCTTTTAATAATTGTTTACTTTTTGCAAGAAAACTACAAAAGTTCTAATGGCAAAACGTGGAAAAGTTAAAAAATACAGAAGTTGAGTTCTTTCAATCTACACATTATAAAGTAATGCTAATATAAAATTTCATAATAAAATGAAATATTTTCATAAGGAAAAAAGTGAAATATTAATATATGTATGAACTTGATGCATAAACAATACATTCAGCAAAAGTTCCCCCCAAAACTCTGAGATTCACACTATGAAATCAATACCAATAACCACCAGACAGGCTGGGATGTTGTTCAATGGTTGAGTATGTGTCTGTCATGCAGAGGGCCCTGAGTTTGATCCTAAAACAATGAACAAGTGCCTCCTTCTCCACCTAAAAGTTCTTTTTAATCTCCTTTATCTCTGTGTTAGTTCTCTTGCCTTATTTGTTTTATTTTAGAAAAAATAAAAAATTTAATAAAAATTAGAAGCAAGAAGAAAATATACTATCCATGATACCATTATCTAAACCAGTGGTTCTCAACCTTCCTAACGCTGCAAACCTTTAATACAGTCCCTCATGTTGTGGTGACCCCCAACCATAAAATTATTTTATTGCTACTTCATGACTAATTTTGCTACTGTCATGAATTGCAATATAAATATCTAATAAGCAACTCTAAATGGGCTGCGACCCACAGGTTGGGAACCATTGATCTAAACCAAAAATCTTTCTGACTTGTCATCTAACTTTTGTTTACAAAGAGGGAATGAACTGGTTTGGCCAACAGCAGTGTTCTGGTCACAGTGCCAAATAAAAACCACACAACTCCCTACAGTTTCACTTCTTGGGGATTGGCAGGAGTCAGATTCTGTGATGAAGATCATCAGCAGAGAACTGATGAGTTTCTGAACCCATCACACACAGGGGCTAACACATGGGTGTCAGAGCTGAGTCAGAGCCTCCAGGGGCAGCGTCTGTGGCGTCAGACAGCCCAAGCCTCCCCTAAGAGATTCCACTCTAACCCTGGGTGGCCACCTTCACCTGTACCATGAAACAGGCACTGCACTGCCCACACTCCTTCTGCTTTCATTTCTGTCTTGCTTTTCTAGATGACTGAATGCCCCGAGAAGCGCTTCCCTGCTAAGCTGCACCACGGTGACTGTACCTTTATTTTTACTCAGCATGATGACTGGTCCCCAACACTACTACCACTTTCTTGCTTATTCTGGCTCATTTTGAATTCTAAGATGGCTGCTTATGGGAAAACTATTCTTTTGTGTCTTTTAAAAACCTCATCCCTTCTTCTTCCCTGATATCATATAATAGCATAGTAGTGAGAATTAAAGTCAGAAAACTTAATTAGTTCCCAAAACAAAGACTTTAAATTGTGTTCATTTATATGCAGCTGCTACCTATGTTTTATAGATTATATCTTCAATAAAATGATTATTTACCTGGATTTTTTTTTTTTTTTTTTTTTTTTAGTAGCCCAGGCTGGCCTCGAACTCACAGAGATCCACCTGGCTCTGCCTCCCGAGTGCTGGGATTAAAGGCGTGCGCCACCAACGCCCGGCTTACCTGGATTTTTTTTATCTCAGAACAAAATCATATTTATTGTTTCTTTCCAAATTTCCCCCCAAAACCTAAACTTTTATCTCTCTCTAAACACACAGAACCATAACTTGAATAGAGCATTATAACACTGGTCTAAGTCGAATGTTTAGAGAATATCCAATTATATTTTATAATTTAATTTTTTCTTCAACTAACTGCTTGATACATCATCCCAAAATGATGAAAATAAAAAAGAAATGGCTTCTGATCTCTACTAATTTTAAAGGGATGGGATAGAAATGGTATTTTAGGAAGGTTTAGGAAGGTTATTACAGGAAATTGTAATAGTGTAGAACATAAAAAGCACATGTGGCCTGATCCTGTGGCAAACATGGGTCTATGTGGAGGTGCTGATGCTGATGTCTAGAAAGATATGAAAATATGAAGAAAAGCTACAGGCAAAATCCTGAACAACTGTAACTTTGTTCATTATTCTCAAAGTATTTACAGTGAGCCTGTCCATGTCAACAGGGAAGAAGCTTAAACTTCAACTTTCCTATTGAAGGCTATTTCTCTAAAGTGTACATAAGCTTAAATATTGTACCATTTCATAAAGAGAAATAGGATAAAATGAAGTAATGGTGAATATTAGACTGGTCATCTCTAACCCACATCTACATTTTCACAATGAATACATTTTGCTTTTAGAAAGGTTCTTATGGCTAACTTTAAAACTTGGTAAATTTGTGTGTTGCTTTAATACAGTACTTTTATTTCAGAAAAGGCTTATGCTTTTCAAGTCAAATGTTTCAGGTTTTCCTAATAACTTCAAATAAATTAATAAAATAAATTTTAAAGTTATATAATACTTATGCAATGTTTCTTACAATTATTCTTTTCATAGTTCCTTTGATCACATTTTAAAGGGACATGTTTTAATTTTCAAGTAGTTATATTTCTTTCTTTCTTTTTTGCCTTTTCTCTTATGTGTAACATGTTCCCACATGTGGATGTGCATGCACATGTGTTTGAGAGTGGGTAGAGGCCAGAGGGCACCACCAGGTGTCTTTTTCAATCATTCTCCACCTTATTTTTTGAGACAAGGCTCTCACTGAACCTGGAAGCCAGTTAACTCCTGTCTCCTCTCCCCAGCACTGGGACTACAGGTGCTACTGTACCCCACTTTCTACACAGGTGCCACTGTACCCCACTTTCTACACAGGTGCCACTGTACCCCACTTTCTACACAGGTGCCACTGTACTCCACTTTCTACACAGGTGCCACTGTACCCCACTTTCTACACAGGTGCCGCTGTACCCCACTTTCTACACAGGTGCCAGGGATCCAAATTCTGATCCTCATGCTTGCCCTGCATTTCCTTTAGAAAAACCTCAGTGTGCTTAAAATTTTTACTGTGGTCTTTACTTCCTTTCCTCAGAGGCTGTTTTCAATTGTCTCAGCTCTGTCACAAACCATTGGCTTCAAGGAAACCTGAAAGAAAGTTCAGGTCTGCTGTGTCTTTATCCTTGGAGTCATCCATCACCTCTGGTTCTTACAATCCTCTGCCTCCTCTTCCACATAGATCCCTGAGCCATAAAGGGAGGGGTTTAATGAAGACATTTAGAACTAAGTGCTCTGAAGTATCTCAGCACAATGTGCAGTCATGGGTCTCTGCGTTAATTCCCATCTACTGCAAGAAGCTTCCCTGATGAGGGTTGGACAAGACACTGGTCTGTGGGTATAACATTATGTCATTTGAAGTCATTTTATTACTATGTTCTGTTAGCAGAATGATAGTGTTAGGTTTTCCCCCAGGGCCTGTGGCCTAGCTAGTCTTAGGTTCACATGTGAACTCACAGAGACTGTGACAGCACTCATAAGACCTGCACAGGTTCAAGACAGAGAGGTCCCAGGACTGAGAGGGAGGAATGGACATGGAGTTCACCCCTAACCAAGAAGTTATTTGAAACTGATACCTGCTGACAAACGGAAAGTCAATTTCTCCAATCCAGTGGAATTAAGTGTATTAACCACATTCCAGGACAGGCCCATGCCCAGGAGCACTTGGCCAACACAAAATGAACTCCATGTTTTTTGTTTGTTTTGCTGTTTGTGGTTTGTTTGTTTGTGTGTGTGTGTGTGTGTGTGTGTGTGTGTGTGTGTGTACTTTTCATATCGTTCTTGGCATTTTTGTCTTTTTTGTCTTCTACTTGTTTATTTTTGGTTTTGTGTTTTTGTGGGGATTTTACTTGTTTTATTTTGAAAGAGAGAGACAGAGAGAAAGAAGATAAAGTTGTCTGGGTAAGAGGTGGGAAGAATCTGGGAGGAATTGGGGGAGAGGAAAATATGATCAAAATATATCGTGAAAAGTTTTTAATTGAAATAAGTAAATGTTGTTAAAAAGATGAAAGATAAAAACAAAATGTTTAAAAAGAAGAGAGCTGACCATCTCCAGCAGCCTCAGCTTGCTCCCACGTACCTCGATATCGGCTCCATTGTCCATTCTTATGTGCAGCACTTTCCCTTCTGTGACATTGCTCCGACTCCACTGTGGCTGAGAGCTTTTCCTCTCCAGGTTTGAAGTTCTTGTGGTCTAGGACCAAACGAGAATTATGAAAAATAACTCTTAAGATGTAACATTCTTATTAATAATGCACTCTAGTTGTGATCAGCCTGAATGGATACCATAGTCTTTACTGTATACAAAATCATTTACTGTCTTTTTCAAATCCAGAGTGCAGTGCCAGTCACTGACACATTAGGCTGAAGGAGCCCTTCAGGCGAGTGTGCAAGTGTCAGAGGGTTCAGGTGAAGAATGAGGGCCTGGCTTGTCCTAAACTTGTGTTTCTTGCCACCAAAATTGTGCTAGATTAAATACAGCATTCTACTATGCTTTTCATACCCATAAATACAATCAAATTAGTTTGATTAGAAATCCCACATTATTTGAAAATCACATGACCCAACCTTGCAAAGTATATTTTATATTTGAGATAGATAACTAGAGCTTCATTTTAGATAATGAAGCCACAATGACACCTGAACTGTTGTCATAAATCTCTCTATCAGTTGAAGAAAACTATCAAAAAATCCTATTTGGTTAAATTTGAAAAAGAAGTTTTTCCTGTATAAACAGCTTTTAAGAGCTGGAATAATAATGTTAGTTGTTTGGGATCCTGAGAAATAATTTTGACAGTGACTGAAAGTATCATAAAACACGTAACTATCCAACTCTGCTCATCTCTGCTGTGGGAAGCAAATAGTTCTTTAAGAACTTCAAGAAACCAATGAATTAGCTAACAAGGGCTCGTAGAACAAGGAAGAACCTAGGGATGGGAATGAAGAATGGGCTGTCAGTTTGTGTAGTAGAATCTTCAATATTTACCAAATCTTTCACAGAAGGCTCTCTGCTGCTATTTCTTTCTTTTTTTCTCTCTTGTGTTGTAAAATTGTCTGTACTACCAATACTCGATGTCTGTGACATTTCTACCACCAAAACTGGAGAGTTGACTGTTGAACACACACAAAGGAGATCAGCCTGAGAAGATGCACAGTGGGGGCACTGTGAAGGTATTTCATCCAAGCCATGGTCAGCCATTTGCTTAAATTTATAACAAAAAGAACTTGAAAGAGATGTTTCCACTTTGTGAGAAAGAAAACCAGGTCAAAGGGATGTGATGGACTGCTGGTAAGAAACGACTTCTGGTCGACAAGGTCCTTGGACTAATGAGGCACTATGCTTCATGCATGAGAGCTGTGGACAGAAAAGAAGGCACCATTCAGCAAATTCTTACCACCTTCCTGACAATCACAGGAAAATTAGCAACTAGAACCAAAATACTCCACCAAGAAAAGCTCATACTGAAACGAAAATTGGACTATAACATGGTTACAACCAGCAACAATAAGCCTAGCTTAGTATTTCTTAAGGTGAACTATTGCTTTAAAAATCTAAAAATGTTAGTGTAGAACAAACATATTGCTGTGATTTCTTGATTTAAGCTTTAGCCTACTAGCTAATGGCCTCAGAGCAAATATCTCTTATACACTTCACTAAAAGAAGGAATAGTTTGATTTTATAAAGCTATCTGATTGTTAAAGTTCAAAGGCAATATTAAAAGTAGCCTCACTTTTAGAGGGGAATAAATGGGTACAAGTTTTTTCTCAAGTTTAGTATTGTTATGTACAGAATTTTACCAAACTAGGCTCACTGGTTGTATGGAAGCAAACTGGAAAGATCTGAGCTGAAGAAGGAAGAAAGAATGTGCGCATTTGGAGAATGCCTTGGAAAATCTGTAGAAGCAATAAGGAGCATATTATTGTCTCTATGGCATCCAAGTCCAGATACTTTTAAAAGCATATTTTATAGATAGCTTCACCTGGCTTGGAGGTATAAAATATACTTTTATCCTCTGAAGTGGAATAAACTTGTTAGCATTGGAAATTAAATATCCTTATTTTGCTAAAGAAATGTATTTCTAGTCTTAGATACCTAGGACCAGTTGTTTATTTTTATTAATTAAAATTGTTCTTTGACAGTTTCATACAGAGAGAGAGAGAGAGAGAGAGAGAGAGAGAGAGAGAGAGAGAGAGAGAACACAATCTTACAAATGCTTGACTTTGTTTTTCAAGTACATGAATCAAGACAAAGATAATTTGGAATATTCCTTCATACATTTTATGATTGAATTTCGGGTCTAGAAGAAAATGCTTTGTATTGCAGGATAAGTATAAAACCTGTAACCATCAATGACTCAGAGCAATGGAATAGATCTGCAAATAACAGCCTTTATGTTCAGGGCAAATAGTTCTTTTCCTTGGCAGATGTAGAAAAGTCCCATGTCAAATGCATAAGGCATCATTCAATGGATGTGTTAGTAATAATGATGCTATGGCACTTTTTTCTTTAACAGTGAGAAGCAGAAATTTTTTATAAAAACTGTAAGATGTATTCATAGTGTAAAGGCCAATTTAAAATGTAGTTGAGTTTCTTCACTATAAACACCACTCCTAAAGCATGTTCACAAGGGTGAAGAGATGGCTGGGGCAGGGGGAGTGCTTGCTGCACAGGCATGAGGACCTGAGTTCAGATCCTCAGCACCCAAAGCCAGGTAAGCCTGGTGCTATGGGGAGGTAGAGACAGGTGGAGCCCCAGAGCTCACTGGCCTGACAGGCTAGCCCCATGAGTAATAGCCTACTCAGGTTCAGTGAAAGACCCTGTCTCAAAACATAAAGTGGAAAGCAACTGAGGAATATACCATGTGCAACACACTCACGAGAGAGAGAGAGAGAGAGAGAGAGAGAGAGAGAGAGAGAGAGAGAATGAATTTAAAAACCATACATATTCACAGATTTTCAACAGAATCCATAAACAACATACTCCATCCCTGCTACTAAGTTAGAAGGGTTTGATGTACCCTAACACCCTTCTCAGGCGTGTGGTTTGTAACCATTTTCACTGTGGTGATTGTTTCTTATTGACAGAAGCTTTAGTGTAATGTCATCTTATTTCCAAACAGTCACTTCTGAGGCCAATGGCAAGGAGCTTCCCTCTACATTCTCTTCTACATGTTTCACAGCTTAGGACTCATGTTTAGACGTTCCTTATTGCAAATTGATTGTTGTGAAACATGTAAAGGTCAAATTTCATTTGCATGCGAATATCTGGTTTTCTCAGCTTTATTTATTGAAGAGACTATCCATTTCCCCATATTGTCCTTGCCAAAACTTAGTTGACTATATTTATCAAGGTTTATTTCTTAGATATTGATTCTGTTCCAATGCTTTGCCTGTTTTTATGTCAAGAAGCTGCTGTTTTGATTACTATAACTTTTTACTACATTTTTTAAAGTAAAAAAAATGCCTCTGCTAACTCTGATTTTCTTGTTTTGTTCTTATTAGTATTTCCAGAACTAGGTTGAACAGAAATGGTGAGAGTAGGCTGGCTAGATGATTCTGCCAGTAACTCCTGGTGACCTGAGTTTGGTTCTCAGGACCCATGTAAAGGTGAAAGAACTCTACAAAGTTGTCTTCTGATATCCACAGGCAAACTGGCATGTGCATCCCACATACCTCCCCCCTCTTTCTCTCTCTGTCTCTGCCTCTTTCGTGTATGTGTGTGTGTGTGTGTGTGTGTGTGTGTGTGTGTGTGTGTGTGCGTGTGTGTGTGTCTGTCTGTCTGTCTGTCACTCTCTCTTTCACACACATATACACACTCTAATAAAATAAAATTTAATTTATAAAATAGGGAGAGTGAACATCCCTGCCTTGCACTTCATTTGAATGGAAAAGTACTGTTGCTTCACCCTGATCACATCAACTGTAGTGTCTTCATGCTTTTCCTATGCTGAAAAGCTTCCCTTCTGTACCTGAACTGTTAAAATTTTTTGTCCAGAAAGAATGATGAACATTTGCCAAATGCTTTTTCTATATCAGTGGAGATGATGCTGTGGTTTTTAACTTTCATATGTCGATGTGGCACATCATAGTGACTGGTCTGAAAATGTTAATCTAGCCTTTCATGCAAAGATGACTCCCACTTGGTCATCGTGTGTGTTGCTAAGTTCAGTTAGTAACATTTTAGTGAGGATTTTTTTGCATTGTATTCAGAGACAGTGACTTACAGTTTTCTTACAGTTTTTTTTTCTTGTTTTTTTTTTTGTTTGTTTGTTTTGTCTAGATTAGGTATGAAGGTGATCTTGACCTTATAAAATGTACTTAAAGGTATTCTGGGTTGATTTTTTTTAAGAGTTTAAGAAACAATGGCAATCAAGATTGGTTCCAGCACTGAGAGGGGGAAGTGGACATGGAGTCCCATCCATAACCAAGAAACTATTTGCAATTGATACCCACTGGCAAAAGGAAAATTAGCTGTCTTGAATGGAGTGACATTGAGTGTACCAAGCCCACTCCAGGGGAGGCCCTATGCACAGAGATAGTTGGCCGACACAAATAAACTCCATGGTTTTTCTGTGGACTTTTTGTTTCATTCTGCTTTCTTTTATCATATTGGTCTTTCATTGTTTGTTTTTATTTTTATTTTTGTGGTTTGGGGAGCCATTTGAAAGGGAGAAAAAAAACAAAGTTCAGTTGGTAGGGAGGTGGGAAAAGCTGGGAGAGGGGAAAACATAATCAAAATATATGAAACAGATTTTTAAATAAAAAAAAGAAACATTGGCTATGATTTTTCAGTGTTTGGTAGAATTTAGGTATGAAGTTATCTGGTCCTAGGTTTATCTTTTTTGAAAGGTTTTTTATTACTTGTTCAATACCTTTGTTTTAACCCAATTTAAAAATGAGTTTAAAAAAACTTTAAAAAAACAAAAAGACATAAAAATTGCTAACAGGTATATGAAAAGATACTCAACATCAATAATTGAAAGAAAACAAAAATAAAAACACAATGAGCTATCATTCTACACCTATGTGAAATGCAATCGCATGGACATGCAATGTCTATTTGGGTGGTTAAGGAAACATATGAGAAGGGGCTGAGAGAAGGAGGACAAAGAGAATGGGTCCTGGCTGCTTCCTGTCCTGTTCTTTGTTGTCTGTCTCCTACGATGCACACAGTTGTCTTCCATAACATGATGCTTTTGCCCAAACACATGGAGACAAGAAATTATAGACAAAACCTCTGAAACCATGAGCTAAAATAAATGTTTCTTCCCCAAATTGTCCTGCCAGATATGTTGGCCACAGCAACACAAAGCTAACTAATACAATCTATAAAGATAACCAGTATTTAAAACAAACCAACAAAAAACATTAAAAGGTTAATTAGGGAAATGACTCAGTTAGTAAACCTGAGTTGGAGACTTGAGTTCAATGAACCCAAATGAAAATGCTGGCATGGTGATCGGGTTTGTAATCACAGAGCTGGGGAGGCAGAGACAAGAGGATCCCTGGGGCTCAGTGACCAGCCAGTCTAGACTAACTGGTGAGTTCTAGGCCATTGAAAGTCCCCGTCTAAAAGGAAGAGGATGGTGTTCCTAAGGATGACAATTGAGTGTCTTCTGGCCTTTGTGCTCATGCAAACCCACATATGACTGTGCACCCCATATACAAAGATGTGTACACACATCTATCTATATGCATTTGTTTAAGGCGAGCAGTAACAAATCCTGCTGAGGATGTACAGAGGACTGAACTCTAGTACACCACTGGTGCAAATAGAGACTGGTATGCAGTATGACAAGGAGTATGGTATGATGTTTCTAAAGAAATTAAAAATAGAACTATCATACAAGTCAGCCATTGCAATGTCTCCATAGAGGGGGAGTTCACCAGCTCCTAATGATTCCTACTGACTCTGCACTCCATGATACTGTTACGTTATTCACAATAGCCAAGAAGTAAATAAACCAAATGCCTTTGGATAGACAAAAGGGTAAAAAAAATATATGTGATATGTGGATATAATTCCTCTTTTAAGAAGGAAATCCTGCCGTTTGCACAACATGGGTGGATCCAGAAGATGGTTTACTAGGTGAAATAAGGCAAACACAAATCCTCCCCGTACACATGCAGTGAAAAGCCAAAAGATCTCAGATATAAGGTGGAATGAAATGTTGATCAACACAGTGTCAGGAGAGAGGAAACGGGCAAATAAAGTTAAAGGATATAAAGCAGATGTGCAGAATAAACAAGTCTAGAGATCTAATACACAGTGGGATTGAAAGGTAATAAAACTGTGTTGTATTAGGGAATTCTGCTAAAATAAGTCACTTTTAGTTGCTTCTTTCACAAAACAAT